TTACTCTCTTGAGTAATCCCACTGAACTCTGAGAACTAGGGACAATTCTTCATCAATTTAAGTTGCAAAATTTTGCTCCAAGTATTGCTCCAAGTATATAAGTATTCCGAGTTTCCAGATTGTACAGCAATCAGGTATATATTCTGTCTCAAATAAAAATACCTCATTTTTTCATTAGTCTTAATCAAAAAACGTTTGATATAAGAGTGATAACATCCAACAGCAAAGATTATGGTAATAATAGTCATCAGGTCTCTCAATGAAGTAAGCTATAGCCAACCCTGTATTTAGCCTGTAAGCACAAATGTGATCAGCCAAATAAATTTTATCTCTGACAGAACAGAAATTACATTCCTCACTGCTACCTGACCAAAATGTTATTTCAAGGAAGCTGCTGTCAGAAGTGACCAACAAACAGGCTATGAGCTCAGACTAACTCTGGTCCATGGCCTCCTCCCTCCTGCTGTTTTGTTTAAAAACTGATGCTGACACTGGACACCCTGTGACCTGCCAGCCACTTTGAACTTATTACCTTATTTCATGCAGTCCTTGCACACACACACACGCACAAACATTGAGGCTCCTCACATATGACAGCAAGTCTGTTAATGTGCATCTGCACTGTCCAGTTATATGGGAAGTGGACATTCAGCTTATTTCACTGGAATGCATCTATTCACATGCCCACAGATCACACACGTCCCCGACCTCCATCACACGATGTGGGTTGCATTCATTCTGCTCATGTGATGGCATTATACACGCTTGTCCTCTCACATAAGCGGCAGGAAAAGAGAGAGCAGCGGTGTGTCTATCACACAGTATACTCTGATCAGCCGATTGCTGCAAATAGCCCTCAAGTCCCTCCATAAGGAGCTGTTCAGTCTGCCCCATTGTAAAGACTGAGCACTGTTGTGTTAAGAAGTTAAGTAAACTAATCAAGAGGAAATGGCTGTCAGGAATACCATCTACTTTGAAAGTTCGCACTCTTTGCCAGAAAGAGTAACAGAAAAAACAAGAAACAACCCCGTTGTGTTCTTCCTATTGCAGCACAATTATCACTTGTGCCTGCATTTGGATTATCTCAGTTTACCAGGCTACTGAAATCAGCACTGCTCTGCCTCTTTATTTAAGAATGAGAAGTGCTAGATGAATTCAATATTGAACTACTTCCACCAGTTTCCACTAGCCAGAATTTTTAGGCAATGATGTGTTCTTGTTCTGCAAATACTCATGAATGTGTCTCAAGAAAAACTGGAATTTTTTTACCAAGATAAATTTTAGAGAGAGAGAAAAAAAAAGTAATAATGCAAATTTTAAAAAAAAATATCTCTAATTAAAAAAGACATTTCTCTCTTATTTTCACACCTGAAAAATTACACCTGGAATTTACAAAGTGAAACCAAACCACTTTTTTGTTATTCTTTTGGGCAAGGAGATATTCTTATTGAACAGGTTAAAGATAGTTGAAAGAGTTCAAGACAAAAGTTTTTCTGTAGCTCTTCTTAAGTGTTTTTCACTGACCTAATGCAAAATTAGAACAAAGTGAACAGAATTATCCATCCACAATTTTTACTCTGCCCCAGTTAATATAGTAGAAAAAACTTTCAGAAAGATTAAAAAAATTAGTAAGATAGGAAACCTTTTCCTAACTAGTTCTAATACAGATGGACTCCACTTGCATAGTCATTGCAACCACTAAAAGCACACATCAGTTTTAAAATCAAATACAATTACTGGAAATCATATCTGGAAACAAAAGGCAAGGATCATGAATTAAGGTGGTCTTAAAAAACAGGAAGATATTTACCGTGGAAAGAACACCTGTGCAATTACTGTCTAATTGCAAATTATATAGACCAGAAACTTCTCCTGAGAAATGTGCAAGCCAAGGGGCAAAGATATCACCATATACTTGCATATTAGCCAATTTTTTATGCCAGTACCAAAGTCTTCATCATTTATTAATTTCAGTGAGCTTAAAAAAAAGAACAGCTGATCTATCTAGCCATCAAAAAGAAGAATTAATTGTGACTATACTTAACTTGGCAAAATACTTCAAGGATGCAATTTAAACCTAATAGGATTAAGTAACAAGTAGAATTCAACTCTTTAAAAAGAATGATATTGGAAACAGTAAATAATTCTAAAAGTATCTGCCTACAGTACAAGAAGAGGCAAAGGAGGCCCGTAAGGGCCTGACAGAATTAAAAAAAGTGTAGATTATGTATATTGTGTTAGAGTAATCCAGGAAAAACAGCAATCTAAACCACAAATTATTAAGAAATTCCTTCTGCTCTGTCTGAGCAGAATATGCTTGTCCCTTCTGCTCCCTCTTCCTTCTCTCGTTGCCTCTCTTTCATGGGGACTACAGGAAACTTTTAAGTTCTTGCTGTTAAAACGGGACATCATCTCTTTGCATGTATGAGCTAACAGGCAAAGTCCCAATACCATAAATGAATGAAATTTATCATTAGCTGAAGACTACATTCATTTCGCTTCATTGTCATTCTATGTTGTGTGACATTTACATAGTATTAAGAAATATAAGAATAAAAAGTACTCCAAAAAGATTTTTTTCCATTTTCTTGTGGTACAACAGTATCCACTTTCTTTTAACATTTGAGCAGTTTCTCAGCAATAGCTCCAGGGATCTCCAAGCACAATTATCTTTTGACCTGGACTAGAACATGCTTCAAGTACGCTTGAAATGAATAATCTGCTTTTTTAATCATATTCAGAATGCCTTTGAACAAGTTTTCAAAAAAAGGGATATTACCCTTCCTGTGTCTTTAGATACCATGGATACTTGTGTTTTTAAAGGATAGATTCTATTTATTAGTGAGAAAGAATGTATGGCTCTTTGCATCTACATGCTTTTTTCAGGACTAACACTCGACTGGTGATAGGCTTCACATACCCAGCCATCCATTACATAATAACTTGCATTAACTGCATATACGATGCTTCTTACATAGCCAAGAATAACTTTTGTAAATGTCATCGGGTTCTAAATTTCTTCATCATAATTTCCAGTTCTGTCAGCCACTGCAGAACATAAACATTATGAACAAAAGAAGATAAAGTAGCTCTATGGTTTATTGACTTTAACTTCTAATTAAATACATTTCATAACATTGGTGATTTCTACAGAAAGTATGTTTGCCTATGACACCATGTAACCACCACTCTGACTCCTTTAAGACAATGTCACAGGAATTCAGGTCTGTCCTCTGCTCTGTGCCCCAAGATTTCTTTCCAAATATGACTGATTAACTGACTCTTTAACCCAGTGGGAAAAAGAACAGTCCACTATTATACCATTGCCTTTTAATTTAAAAGGTTCATCCAGGAAGTGGAAAATCCAAAATCACTAATGTTCTGAATGTGAAGCAGTTCAAACTTGCATTTTCAGAGTGTCATAGCCACCAATTCTTGTTAAGCACTTCCTTGCAACTCATCTCAAATGTTCTGACTTCCTCCTATCCCTTTCTCACCCTAAATAAACTTCCACTTCTCCTCATCCCCAAATTTCCACTTGTACAATCAAGAAGCCACCCCACAAGTTCTACCTTCTGTAATTCTAATCTTGCTAAACCATACTCCAAATCCCTTCCCACTCAAGATTCCCACATTACTGTGCCATCCATCCAAACTCACAGAATGACTTCCTCTTGGATGTAGCACTTGACTCCTCCAACTCTGCTTGCCCACGCACTGCGATTACCACTGCAACTCCAGCATTACTGCTATTGATGCGGCTGCTTCTTTCTGCTTGCCTCCTCCATGACTTTTCTCACCCCCACACATGCTCTTCCACTGATGAGTGGTACATAGGGCTACTGCGGCTTTCCCAGCATTAGAACTGCCTTAGTTGCTGGTCTGACAGGATTTAAAACCTAGATACAGGTCTGCATTTACCAAACTCTGCCTAGAGAGCACCCTAAGGGCAGAAGGCAGAAAACAGGCTTGTGAGAAAACAGGATGTATGGAATATATATTATTACTGACTCATTACAAAAACGTGTGCAGGAATATGTGTGGTCAGATTCTGTTCAATACATGTTTTGGTTAAACAGGCCTCACCTCTTTCATTTCCCTTCCTTTTTCTTGTCTCAGAGTGGTTGCTAAAATGTAGACTTTTGGTATAAAACTGGCAGACATAACCTATTCAGAAGCAACAAATTTTTCCTTACTTTCTCTGTTTCTCTACCATACCTTGCAATCCTCTCTACCTCAGTGCTTCCTCTAATGGATACTGTCCCCTCAGCATCTGGGTTTACCTCCAGTTAGCAGGATAGATGCGTGTGAGATTACAAAGGAAGAGATTAGATTTATTTAATATAACTTAAAAAGATCTGTTTTGCCTGTTTCCACCTTTGAATCAAAGGGATTTTGTTGCACTGCACGTAACCCTGACTCACTTCAAAACTACAAGGTTAGTTCAGAACCTATCCCTCTCACCCTGCAAAAAAGCTATTTAACTATTCATTCTCATTCGACTCTTGAAACAGAGTTTGTAATGAAAATGACATATGCTTTTAGTACTCCTTTCTGAACATACAGAGCTTAAGTGGTGAGAAAAAACCCACTGTTGCGTACTAGGAAAATGTTCTAATCACAAACTCACTGCTTTCTTGTTTATTCTAACTGCTCTCACAAGACTTTATACTCCTTTTAACCCATTGTAGGCAGGGAATGTTCCAATACATTGCAAGACTTTTGTTTAAAAAATGATGCCCCTACAGTTGGTAATATCCTATAGACAAGAGAAGACAGTAATTCTTAGCACCCCTTTTCTCTTGTTTATAAAATATACAATGCATTAAGTTAATAAGGAAAAGACAACACTGCATATGTTATCACTTCTCATAATGCTAATTTCCTGTCATGAAGAATTGGCTTTGAGCTGTGAAAGAATACAACCTCCACTATACATGACCTCAGCATTCAGAATAAAGCTATATAAAGACAGCTGCAGGGGCAGGAGGGTGTTTTACCTTGACACACGGAATTGTTTCAGTTTCTGCCTCTAGCTGTCACACAAGATGGCTCTGCACTTATCAGTATATAGGTAGAAAGTCCATTCACATGAACTGAAACAGAAACCTGGAGGGGGAGAAAGGACAACACTGAAAAATATTTCTTCTTGATATACGACTGCTACTCTTTCTTAAAAAAAAAAAAAAAAAAAAAAAAACCCAAAAAAACCCACTTACTTACTTCACATGAGGAAATAATGCAGACCTGATTTCATAATGAATATAAATGATTAACCAAGAAACTAGTTTTAATTTGTTGCTCAAGATCGTCTGTTAGGCTTTTCAAATGCTAATGACTTTGCATCATGTTCTTGGAAAACAAGGTGCAAGAGCATCAAGTACATGTCTG